AAAAGCCATTTGATGATAATGTGAAGGAGGCAGAACAGTAAACTGATAATTTATCTTGAAGTATTTTTCTGCTATTTCCCTTATGCTTTACATTCAAAATAAATGTTTAGACAATTTATAAACAATGTCAAACAGTTCTGTGAAAAACATATCATATTTATCTTATAATACCTTCTTTTTTTATATTTGCATTGTCTCACTAGCTTCCCTGGTGCTCACAAATCCTTCGGTCAATGTCCAAGCAGCTATATAAATTCAGCTGCTGCAGTTCTTCTATGTTACTGAAGAGTGGATTCAAGAGGGCAGTTTTGCTAACATGATTTGTACAGACTTATTCTGATTTATACAAAATAAAGGAATGGAAGGTGAAAATAATTTCCTGCCATCTTGTTCCATTGGCATTGGCATTGGCAGTTGAAAGAAGTCTCCCAATTTCGGAGGGGCAACCTTGATTCAGAGCTGGTGACATTTAAAAAAAAAATAGATTGACCCATTGCAGTATTGCCCTGCAAAATTATGCATGTGAATTTGGGGAACAAAGTTTGGTAATTCATTGTGAGACGTTTTCTAAAGGAGTTGAGTTATTTCTTATTGTTAGTGGTTTTAAAGCTTAATATTTTCAGCATCTCTTTTCTCTTTCAGCTTCATTAGTACAAATACTTCTGGGTCCTCCCCCCCCTGCACCCCATCCTACATTGCTCAATGTAGTTTTAACCCAAATTATTACTCGTGTTTGGGCTTGGTTTTGCTGCTTGTAAGAGAGTCCAACTTCCTGTCAGTTATATCCGAGAGCTTGGATTATAGTCTTAGATAAACAGTTTGGCACTGCATGTTCTTTTTGGAAGGCATGCCTAGGCTTTGCTAAAGCTGTTGAATGACTCTGTATATAATTTGCGTATCTGTCACTTTCGGGTATTACAATTTGGACTTTCTTTATACGTTACCACACTTGTATCTATCTTTGCTTAATTGCATTGCTCCAAATGTTAATTTAATATTTGATGAATAAATTGGAACTGTTGGAATTAAGCATTGGGCTATGTTTTCTTTGCCACAAAAATAAATATCTTCTAAGTTTTCCTAAATTGTATTTGAAGCTGCATACCTTGGCATATCTTTTACATCAGGACATTAATGAAAATCTGTAGGAGAAAATTTCCTGGTTTTCACTATCATCCCTGGCCAGGATATAAAGAGGCACTAATATTTGCACATTCCGTAAAGAATATGTCGGAACTGCCAAGATTCCCTGGTTCTATAGATTGTCAAAGAAAAAAACAACTTCAGATAGTTGCTTCTCTCTTTTGCACCTGAAAGAATCCTTATATATATGGGGAGAAGGAACGGGGAGTGGACGGGACAGGAACCTGAATTTTAATGGATGCATCCATACACTTTTCTTAGCAACAGTACCACAATGATTTGCTTTTACTTCCAGATTAATGCTTATTTAATAAACCCAATTTTCTACTTCATCCTTTTTTTTCTTTTGAACCATATTGATTGGGTTGCAAGATTGAAGTTAGAGATTGTGTTATTATTGAATGTTTTTTGTGGTTTTGCAAACTGTAATCGTTTACACGATTTAAGGTTTTAATAAATACACCTGGTTAGTCTCAACACTGTAAATTTATTCCAGTTTCAAATAATCATGAGCAAACAAACCAGTCAAGAAACAGCAAGTGATAAAGTTCAAAGATAAAAACTCAAATCTCAAAGAAAAGTCAGGGGGCTAGAAGTTCTAGGAGAGAAATCTACAGAGACCTTCATGGATTGGCATTACTCCAACATAATTACGAAGGTTAAATTGCTTCATACCAGTGGCCTCTGACTCATCTGAACTCACTGGGCCCAATTAGGCCTTGCTTTCTTCAGCAGGTCATTCTTGTCAAGCCAAGTACTTCTATAACTTTCTGTTTGGCACTGTTTCTCTTTAGATATCAGTGTTTTTGACAGCAGGTTGGAAAAACTCTGTTTGTGTCAGAATCTGCTAGAACCAAGGCTGGAACAGTGGAAACAGTTGTTAGCTTGGCATCATGGTTGATCCCTAGCAGATACCCTGTTTCTAGGAGGCATCTTCTGAATCTCTTCCTTATCTAAGGAGAGTTCTTGGGTCTGAAAATGATAATACAATATGTTGTAGAACCCATGCACACTCCTACAGAATGAAATATTTTGAAGAATATCAAAAAGGCAGGATAGAATATTTTCCCTAAAGGAAAAAATGAAGAAAAGTCTTAAGGGAGGCAGAAACCAGCACTAGTCTCCCTGTCCCAAGCAGAAACAGTTTTTAGAAATGCAGATTTGGTAATCCATAAGACTGGGCCATATAAGCAATTAGGTTGACAAATTAACTCAGACAAACAATTAGAGTTTGCATTTCCTCTTCTACCTATAGAGCCAACCATGATCCCATAGGAATCTGACAGCAGCCATTAGAATATTAAATGACATATTCTTGCACAGGAACAGGAAGCTCAAATACAAAGTCCAAAAACCCACCCACTCTCAACTCCATTTGTCAGCTGTCCCAGAATCACATGATGTTNTATTAATTTAACTTTATTTTACCATAAATATCCATGCCACCCAAACCTTAGTTTGTGAGCTTTCAACTGAAAAAAATCTGTTGCTTCTCAGCAATATCCATTATTTCATCTAGATCAAACAATAAGTAGCAAAATACAACTTCAAATCCAGTAAATCCAACCCTCCTCTTTTCTTTGTAATGCTGTATTTTTAACTTGCTTTTCCCTTGCAATATAAATTTGGATATTTGTTATCAAACAGGCATTGTCTAAAATGCAAACATCATTCATGGCAGAATATTCATTTTTATCACAGAAATTCTCCCCAACAGGGACGATTTTAATTTCTCCCAATTGTTCCATGAACTCTAATGGAAGGAAAAGCCCAAGGGGGCCTTGTTCCTTTAATTGGGAATTTCACAACAAGAGCAAAATTACAGTGGAAACAGTTACTACAGGCAAAGATCTTCACGTGATAAATGATTGATGAACATATTTTGCAAGAGCAGTTTATTGTAGTTCTATGTTACATAAAAGGTACTTTAGCGTTGCAGCTCAAAACAATCAAGTTCAGGTTCTTAAAATCTGATCTACATAGTGGTGAGAAGTGTGGTTAAGCCTTCAGTATATACTTTGTCTTCAGAACCCTTCAGAACATTAATTTAAGAACTGACAGATTTCAGATAATACTCATCTCTTTCAGAGCTTCATTCGTGTACTGTATAGATGCTGAAGTATCTTGCAACCAATTTATTTGTGATTAGTTTTTTCTCTGCATGTTGACTGATTGAGGTCTTGTTCCATTGCTTTTAAAAATGCATAGAAGTTAGAAATGTAAATTGAATTGAATTTTGACACATTACTGTATATGGAACAACAATAGGGTTCAACTCCAGCGTCTTTACCTTCTCCTAGGCGTTTATGATCAATAATAAGCAAAGTAGCAATTAAAAGTGCTGCAAAATATAGATGACTGTAAAATTTTGAAGGTTCTAAATCTGATTTCATTTTCCTCCTCTTCCTCCTCATTTCCCTTATTGGTCACATTATAGAATATTTATTTATTTAAAATATTTATTTTACAAACGGTTATGTCAGAAAAGTTGACAATGCTTCATACTTTTGTGGATAAAATTCTTATTTCTTCAAGATACCACGTAAAACCACTGCTTTGAAAGCTGTGCTGGCTCCTAGTTTCTTTTTGGGTTCAATTCAAAGTGCTGGTTTTTATGCAATGAGACCAGGTTATTTGAGGGATCTGCTCATCCTATCAGGTCAGATAGATTAAACATGTTCTAAGTCAGGGGTCACCAACCTTTCAGACCTCAGGGACTACTAAATTGATAATTTTAAATCCAGCAAACCACTAATATGATTTTTTTAAAAAGATAAATAGTATTTAATGCAATATAAAAATGTTAATAATTTTTCTGTGGACTACCAAAATTTTCTCACATACCACCAGTGGTCCATGGACCACCCACCATTTGATGACCGCTGTTCTAAGTCCCTACCCTAAAATGTTGTCATCTAGTGGGTCCTTGAAAGTGTGCCTTTCTGTGGCTGCCCCTACCTTATGGAACATCCCCCTACCCGAGTGATTTGGTATCCCTTCCCTGTACTCTTCCAAAGTTTTCAAGACTTGACATCTTACCTTGGCTTCAGGGTAGAGTGAGGATGTCAAGAATTGGTTGAGGATCATCCCAAATGGATGATTGAGGTGCTGGGTTTTATTTTGATTTTATGGTTTTATGTTTTATTATTTTTATATTCTGGTTTTTATTGTTTTTGTGATCCACCTGAGTTATATTTTCAAGTGGGTGGCCATACAAATCTTTTAAATAAATAAATAAATAAATATTTAAAGGAAGACTGATATAGCTTGTCTCCTATATCAACAAATGTAAAAAAAAAAAGCATTATAACTTCACAGACTGCCCTATTAGAGAGCATTGTTTGGGAAACAGAATAACTAGTCAATTGCACTGGAAGTTCTTGCTGGTAATGAAAATTCTTGTCCTGCTACATTTTGAAAANCATATATGAAGGTCATAGTTCTTAAATGAAATAGAAATAGAAAATATGTATGAGTTTATCAGATATATTTTATTATGTTTATGTTTATTATTTGCCATTTGTGAGGCTGTCCTGATATAAGATTTTTGGAATCCTTAACCATTTCTCCCCCTGCAAATTTTGATGTAGTTAAGAATACAAGTCCTACCATGTTTTGCGGGAAAAGATGGTTGGAGCAATTTTAATAAGATGAATTTAGTAGATCACTTTCATTTCATGCTGGGTTGGAAGAGAAGCAATATATTACTTTGTACATCATTTTGGAATTCCTAAAGGTATCAAGGCAGAAAGGGAACAGGGTAAAAATGTTATTTTTCCTATAGTTCTAAAAGAATGTGCTGTAAGGTTAGCTATTTGGAAATATAATTTTGGTTTCTTTTGTTTTTTCCCCCCCAGCTAATTCAAGTCTTCTTGGAGGAGGTGGTGGTAAGTTTTTCTTTTTTGCCTCTTATGTATTGAAAAAACTAATCTATATTTAAGATTAAATGCTTGAACCACAGTTGGACAATTGCTGCCTAATATATAAATTCTAAAAGTCTGCAGTTTTTAATAATGTGAATAATAGTATTTATTTTGCTGGGCTACCAAATCTGGCATTGCTATTTAATAAAAGGTTAGATTTTAAGTTTTCATGATCTGATTAAATTCCACCATGATTGTAAAGTGATTACCACTATCAGGTTTTGTAATCTGAAAGAAGGGCTAGGTTTTAGAGAGAAGGCGAGGAGACAGAATTTAAGAGAGTTGAGATGCTGCTAAATTAGATGTACAGTGAATAAAAATATATCAATTTTTCAGTTTTCTGAATACTGATTTATTGAGACACTACATACTTGTAGAGTAATTTACTAAATTTAATGCCACTCCAATTGTTCAGAAAAATAGTAATATTCCCTTCCTTTCCCCTTCCTTTTTCTTTTTTTAAAGAAACCAATCATTGTGTTTTTCATTTTATAGCTTTCAAAATTGTTGAAGCAGTTTAGCAAAAAGAATAACATGAAGATGATTTTTGGCATCTTTGTTGCTCATTTTACTCCGACAAAAAAATAAATAAAGTGGAGAAGAAGGGAGGAGGGGGCCTTCCTGTTGGATGTCTTTCAAATGCTTTTGTCAGATATCTAAGCATATTTTCTGGCTATTGTTGAGAGGGATCTGGAGATCTCAGTTTATTTCTCAGAATGGAAATGAAACAAAATTTTAACTGGTTGAAATGTTGAGAGTCAGAATCAATCTTAATCTGATTGGCAGTATTGTGCAATTCTTATTTTTGGAGCAAACATGTATTTGGTTTTATTTCTACACAGAATTGTAACGTCATGGAATAATTATTTTACATAGCACGTTACTTTATTTGATGAAGTCACTATCATTGTTATTAATTGGAAGAAAAATATTATATAGGTTGTTTGCATCACATACAGCCCTGAAATCACCTTTAGAGAAAGAAAAGGGAATAAATGACCCTGGGATGATTGTGGGCTAAGCCATCAGGTAGAGTTGTTTCCATATGACTGTGCATTGTATAGCAAATTCTTCCAATTTTTACAAAAAAACTCTCATCTAGTTTTGTTATCTAAACCTTTTGTATATTTCAATTTGAAATATACGAAATCAACCAGTCAATAGACTGATTGGAAGGAAGGGATACTCATGAAAACTTAAATGTCTTTTAAATCTGAATATGCAGAGTTTTTTTCCCCAAATGAAACACCTAGAATATGGTGGACAATTTGATGTTCAGAAATAAAGCTGGATAACAAAAAATGGAAGTAACAGTGCGGCTGTTAATACTCACTAGGCTCAAATGCTCCTTTTTCCCGTCAGAATTTATTCCATTGGTCCCGACAGATCAATTTTAATCTTCCATGGCAACATGGAATTCTGAAGAAACTTATCCATAATGACTTGCACTTGAGCCACTGCTCCATTTGGAATGTACTCAGGCCAGAAGAATTATTAGAGAAAGGGTCCTAGATCTAGAATTTCAGAATGAGGTCAGCCATATTCCAGCCTATGCTAGCTCATATAACTAGATCCAGATGGGAACCAGGCAAATACTTAATTACGTTAGCATTTCCTATAGGACAAAGAGCCTTTTCAAAGCCAGGTTTGATGTGCTACTCCCCACAGCTCTTAATGGGAGATTTACAGAGTCTCAGGCATATAAGATCATGTCTGCATAGAAATTTTGAAAGTGGCGATGGGGTGGGGTGGGGGAAGCCTAGGAATTGTCCGGGTGTTCTCTAGCAGACTTATTCTCATGAGGAAACCTGCAGGGGCTAGATAAACTGTCAGCCTCAGGCCGGGCCTGCTTTAAATATACTGGCATAATCCAAACCCCTCTTTTGGAATGTAATTATTTTTTCAGCTATAGAAATCTTCCAAACTGCAGAATGTCTACATCACCTTCTGAGTGTTCCTACAATTTGGGACAAGATTAAAGTGAAATATAATTATAAGGATTTAAAACTAACTGAAAGTGATAAACTTGTGTAGAGTTTAAATTATGAAAATTTAAAATAGATTAAGGATTAGTTAAGTTTGGCATATTGTTTACTTTAAAGTATTATGGAGATAATTAAATAACTTAAACATGTAGCCAAATAGAATTAACATAAGAAATGAAAAGTCAAGAAATGTACTAAGAAATACATTTTGGGCACCTTGTCAGGAGGAAGGCAGGAAACCAGGTTCTACAACAATATCTTAATAGTAAACTAAGGATGAATAAGAACAGAATACTGCACAAAAGAAAATAATATAAAATTAACTTGTTTAATCAGGGATTGGATAATAAGTACTTTACAAAAATTGGAAACCCTTTATGGACTTTATGCTAAAACTGTTTCTGAATTTGCCAATTAAAAAGGATTGAATTTGGGTAGAAGTGAATAGTGTGATGTAATCTTAAAGTGGGGAGGAATGATACTACTGTAACTCTGTAATAGCTGCAAAGAAGATTGGAAGAGTTTAAGTTTTTTTTTTTTCTACATTTTTCTCTCATTTCTCTTTCTTTTTCTTTCATTTCTCTTTCTTTTAATTACATCTATATTTTGTTCATGTTTATCTTTATTCTATTTTTTAATAAAATGACATTAAAAATATTCTTGTTCACAAGTACTATTGAGGCCACTACACCTGTTCTTTAACACTATCTCTATTAATGCAATCAAAAACTTTCATTCTTCTGTTATTGACGTGTTGTAGGCTGTAATCAAAGGTTTTTTCCTCTTGATTTTCTCTTCTCAGATGAACTATTTACTATAGAATATACAAAGTGGCTAGATTAGACCTGGCAGCAGTTAAAATTTATTTATTAGCAGTCAAAATTCACAAAATAAATCGTACTGAGCATAGATAAACTTACTAAAAATTCCTATTTCATTTTACCTATATTTTTATTTGTTTTTACTTCTTTGTTATAGCTTTCAGAGATTCCACTTCAGTCTATAGTCTTAGTTTTAATATTACAAATTTTATACAGATATGTTAGGATTCTAATTTTATAGTACTTTATTGAAAGAGGTGTAACTTTTCTTGCTTTTATTCTATGTTGCACTAATGACCCAAATCAACATTTGATTGACTGAATTGAGTTGTATTTTTCATAAATATTCAAATAACTTAAATAGACACAAATCACACTTGTATAGATAATATAAACAACATAAATAATATGTAAATCATTGGGTTTCTTTCATATACAATAGGTATGTCTTGAAGTTTGATCAGATATTATATTTGAAAACATATAAACTATGGGCCTTAAATTAAGAGTTTACTGCATACAAGATGAATAAGGGAGAGGCAAGAGGTGATTTAAAATATATCTATACTTTTTATTGGAAGAATATTATAGTTCTGATCTGCTATGGTTATGGTGTTAGAGTATGCATGTCTATAAATGTATATAGATCTATGTATAGCTATATCTATTTCTGTATAGCCATATACTTTTATTTCAAAATGTTTAACATTCCTCCTGCCTGTTTGATAGTTATGTGATGAGTCTTCATTTTTACATTTTAAGTGTGGTAAGTTGAATTTTATTCCACTAAGAGTGGAATTGGATTTGCATAGATACTTAATTCTTTCATCTTGTTAAAGAGCACTTCAGTCATTATCCATAAAT